GATGTCCGTTTGTAATAAGATATTTAATTATAATATTAGAAACTATTCCACTTCTGATGTTAGAAACTATTCTCAAAATGATTTAAATAAAATAATGTTATTCGTATTAGAATTTACTCTGAAGCAAAAACGAACCGATCTAACAATGGCTGCACAGTCACTAGGGGCGTGACAGCTTAGTTCTATTCTATGCCACTTGGTGCTACCATCAATATTTCTTATTTTTCTTTTATTATTTTATTCTCATTCCTAACAAGTACCTTATTAGTATTCAGTATCTGGATGGATAACAGAGTTAGGGAAATGAAAACAAGTTTAATTATTGAAGTTAAATTTTCCTTGCCTCATTCTTTCTGGCTTACCCTCTTAATATGTTCTGCTCCTGGACCACCTGTCATGAGTTGGCACTTCATCTTTCAGAGCTGCCACGGGTCAGATGTATACATATGTAACTTTTTATTTAAAATTGCTAAAAATATTTTACACTATTTAATTGTCTTAATTTTCTCATATTTCAAAAGTACTTCTAATGTCAAGTTGTTTCTGCTGTACATTTTATCATTTTTATCTCGCACAAAGGTAATCATTACTATGATTTGTATGTCTCTTTTAGGCTGCCCAGCACTAGTAAATCATAGAGCATTATCATAACACATCTAACTACCGTTTCAAACTCTTTCCTCCTAACTATAACTTTTCAGCCGTTCAATGCTCCACGGTGGCAAGTAGGATACAATATTAAGCATTTGCATGCAAATATTTTCCTTCCTTCCTTTAGAATTTTATACAGGGATATTAATCAGTCAAATAGTAGTTTTATCCCACATTATGTGTAAAACAGGCATTTAAACTAAAATATAATAGTTTCAATACTATGTTTTATGGTTTATTTATAGTTTATTATACTATTCAAAGAACAAGACAAAAATGTAACAGTGTAGCAATATAATATAATATATAATAATGCAATAGCTCCACCACACTATGGGTTGACTGGGAGAGACTGCTGACAGGCATTAAGTCCACCCGTTGTTACCTTAGTTGCAAGGTGTTACAATAAATAATATATAAATATATTTAATAAAAGATATAAAATCAAAATGCCTAGCAACTGTATTAGCAAATGAGCACCAAGTGAATTTTGAACAGAGATAAAAAATATGATGGAGTTTTGTTTATGAAGAATGACAAAGTTAACCTGACAATAAAGAGGGTACACAACACCATTCATTATACTTACCTTAATATCTGCATCCCTAGTAAATAATAGCTGTTAATATTTAAAGTGAAGTGACATGCATTTATTCATTTCATTATATATTAAATGCTAAATTATCTTAATTCTGTTCAAACTCACCTTATGATCATGCTATTATTTTCAAAGTCTCCATATCTGGATGTTGTTGAAATTTCATGGACTGTATTAATTATGTAGTGTCTAGTCTGTCTTATCTATCTAGTCTAGGTGGTGGACCACACATCTATAGCTTTTTTTGTTCAAATTAGGTCTCAGAAGTGCATGGACCGCAGTAGCCACTAAACATTCAGTTGGACTCTAACTTCATTTGTCACTAAAATTTTATCAAGAAGAGTTAAAACACTTGGGGTATATGAAAGTTATATATATTATGACACAGTCTATACAAATAAATAAAATTGAAGTGTCTGTTTGTAAAGTCATAATATCAGCTTTTTACTAAATGCATATGAAAGTATATACGGTACTTATAACAAAATTACAATTTTTGTCTGTCTGTCTGTCTGCTTGTTCTGGGTAATCTCCCGAAACAATTGGACTGATTTTGATGGGACTTTCACTAGTAGATAGCTGATGTTATAAGAAGTAGCTTACGCTACTTTTATTTTAGAAAAATAATTAGGGTTCTGTGCAAGAAAATGAAAACGCATGAAATCCAATCGTAATAAATTCCATGCGGGCGAAGTCGCAGGGAACAGCTACTTTTTACTAAACATTGTATACCCCCTTCTCAATAAGTGTCCTACACCACTATAGGCAACAGCATGCAATAGGATACTTAATGTCTTTTCTGAGATAATTCTTTATAAGTAAAATGGACTCAGTGTGATGCTTGATAGACACCAATTTTAGCTGTTTCAATCAGCTAATGCCTTGTAAATGCAAGTCTTGCTGTGTACCTGTTTACGAAATTTGGTATCAAAGAATTTATTATTGTCGATATATATAAAACCATAGACAATATCATTGATAAATATTATACTTGGCCTCTTTTTATATTTGATAGCTAAAGTATTTTATCTTATATGTTTTTATTTATATATATGTATATTTTTTACGTCGTAGAGCCATGCTGCAGCTATATTAGTAGTATAGTTGTAGCTCAAATGATTTGGCTCGACCGGGGAAGGACCACACTCTCACAGAATACCAGCGTAAAATAGCAGCTTACTGCTGCTGTGTTTCGTATGGTGAGTGTAGAGAACCGGAGACCCTTTTTACTGACGATGAGGCATTCCATCATAGTCCTCACGGGTGACAACGCATCTGCATTTTGATTTGTAATAGAGGATACATGTAGATGTCTATAAGCCACAGCAACCACTTACAATCAGGTGGACTGTGTGCTTGTTTGTCACCCTTATCCCATAAAGGTATCAAATGAGCTATCTTTATGTTACCAAATAAAGAAGACTATAGAAGTGTTGTTGGTTATGCCTGAGAGCTAAGATGTATTGCCTCACAGCATGTAATGATATTAGCTTGCCATACCCTTAAATTTGAAAATAAAAATCTGTAGATGCACTTGTTAAGTGGCAGAAATAGGCAAAAGCACCTATCCAGACAAACAAGCAAAAGAGTATGCTTATTATTAGCATAATCTTAAACACCACCAATAATTTAAAAAAATGATTGATTAAGATTATAGTATTGTTACGAGCTTGGGGGTTCGAGACAATTAAAAACTGCCGATTGAATTACCAAAATTGACACTTTAATTACACAACACTAATTACAATCTAAAACCACACTAATAATAAAACACAATCACTTTAGTTCGCAGTTATTTCGCTTCGAAGTATTCTCTTGTGTCGCCAATTCAATACTGCCTCGGTCGTGGTCTATACCGGCCTTATATAGGGCCTCAGATAGTTTTCAGAACCTTCTACTGTAGCGACATCTAGAATGTTCGAGTACATATCGGTCCCGAAATTTCTGGAAGGATCTTGACTCCTAGTTCTGCTACTCGACACTAGAGGGCGCTAGTGTAACTAGTGTTGCCATGTACAAGACATTAATAGTGGCGCGCAACAGTATGTTTATAAAATCTATTTAAATAGACTACATATTTACTTTAATTATTTTTCAATTACTTTAAATAATTTATTCGCCTGTTAAGTGTGATAACTATGACAAATATCACCTCTGGGGAAAGCCTATGTACAGTACCTTTGATAGGTTTTAACAATAATGATGGTGATGATACATTATAATTTTTTATTTTATAATAGTGTAATGTTGTATGTTTCATTATGCCAATGCTAATGTCTACTAAATGTCAATCTTGTGTGACATCTGGTACTGCAAATGTCAATTTGCTCGCCAAGCTGATTGTACGTGGTAAAGCCATGCTGCAGCAATATTAGTAGTGTAACTAGTTGTAGCACGAATGGGTCGGCTCGACCAGGGAAGGACCACGCTCTCACAGAACACCAGTGTTAAATAGCAGCTTAACACTGCTGTGTTTCATATGGTGAGTGTAGAGAACTGAAGACCCTTTTTACTGGAAAAGAGGCATTCCATCTTAGACCTCATGGGTGACAACGCATCTGCATTTTGATTCTTAATTGAGGATAGATGTAGATGTCTATGGGTCACAGCAACCACTTACTATCAGGTGGACTGTGTGTTTGTCACCCTACCCTATAAAAAAAAAGCATGGAAATTATGGGAAAAGCCTATGTGCAGCAAGGAATTTTCATTGGATAATAAAGAAGCTAAATTCCTAAAAGTGCTTAATGGCACCTCATAAGTAATAACCATGCTACAAATTAATATTTTTAATGATTTGCACACCTTAACAATTTTTTTAATATTAATATTTTCAACTTAAAATTGAGATTTATATTGATAAACCTTCTTAATAAAATTATAAAAATTTCTTGTATCCATTATATTTATATTTAATAAACTTTCGCTTTATACCTCAGGATGTTCCTAAACTTCATAAACAGAAATTAAAAGAATTGTTAAAGAAACACATTTAAGAAAGTTTTATAAGATACTTTATAATACATAAATAAAAAGATTAAATTTGTCTACGAAAGTTCATTGCTATATTTTATTTAATTTCATGGCATACATTTCTTCGAAAATGATTTAAAATTGATAATAATTTATTTTTTAATTAATATTATTTAAGATCCACGTAATATATAATTGGCAGTTTATATCTTACGATATTATATACGTATATTATTTTATGCTTGGTATCAAATCTCTACCTATTTACCGGCTGTTTTATTTATCAATAAACAACCCTATCTATAATATTAAAAATGTCTGTAATATTTAATGCATAAACTGGAGATTGAGGGCGAATATTGATTAAGGGTTCGTAGTGCGCGTGTGTGCGCGCACCCCTCTCACAGATTGGGTGGTGCGCGCGCTAGTGTGTGTGAGTACTCTTCCCATGTGCCAGCAGCGGTGCCGCCTTTGCCGAACGAACCAATTATAAATGTAATGTGTAATTCGCGAATTAGCATCTTAACGTTCACTTCTGTGTTATTGCTAAACGATTTCATCTCAACGAAACGTAAACGACCGCGTCGCGATGAAACATTTTTAAGGTTTGCGGGAACGGCGCCGCGTAAATCAATAAATGTCGTAGTAGAGATCGAATGTTTCGTTTAATTATCTAGCCGACAGTGCCTGTGATGTGCAGCTCCTCAGCCATGTGCAGTGTATTCCTATATTTTGTATTTCAGTGATATTGAAGCGTCGATAAGGCGTCGAGTTTCCGATGTTCAATCACAAGTTACCGACTGACTTTCCAATGCAAACCCTTCGTAAGAAAACCAGCCCTTGCAAATGTGAGTTCACGTCGTTCGTAGCCCGATGCGCTTTTTCATTTGAATATATTTTTTCTATATTTCATTATGATATTTACTGCGTCATGCAGTCTTGTTATATAGCGCTAAATGTTAATTTGAACCACTTATGCATCCTAGCTTTTGAATTCTATTTTTCTGTTTAATTTGCCTAAATATTTCTGTTTTCAATGTGCATGGTTCGGCTATGACATTCATTCATAACAAAGTCGGCGATGTCATGATGTCACCCGTGCTGTAATGTCCCCGTGCTAGTCCCATATCATAATTAGTGAACCCTGGTATTTTGGACAGAGGGTGTGTTGTGGGCCCGAAGCAGTGGTGCGGTGGTGCGACGGGGCGGGGCAAGTAATTAATTCGGTTTGTACAGCGAAACATGCAGGTGTGTCATTTCCAGCATCTATTGCGGCAGTTCGGTGAGTACATCGTGTTCACGTAGTGCCTCTTGCTTCTGTATGCACTTTATATATCACTAACATTGTACTGCTGCTCGAAGTTTCGTTTGTATATATATGTACATAGGAGGTGCTTTATTGTCTTCATTTTATTACATGCGTGTGTCATTTAAATTCGTTCACCATTTATCTGTTCACCGACATATCGTTTGTTGTAACAGAATTACAGAACGAAATTTGTATTGCGACAAAATGATAACAAGTTATTTTCTTTACGAATTTAGTCATTACCGCATCTCTACTTATCGCGCTATCTATTATTATTATACAAAACAAATAAACTCTGCTCCTTATCATAATTTTGCTGGTTAATTTCACATATCTGTTGAGATGGAGTAGGTATTTATAAGTTATATCGAAAAAAATAAACATTTAATAATAAAAACGCCGGCGAAGTGCGTTCCGTACCATCGTAAAACACGTTAATTTTTAATTTATTTTTATTATTTGTTGTTACAGCGGCAACAGAAACACATATTCTGCGAAAATTTCAAATGTATACCTATCACGGATCATGAGATACAGACCGCTGAGAGACGGACGGTCAGCGGAGGCTTACTAATAGGGTCCCGTTGGTTAGCCTTTGGGTACGGAACCCTAAAAAGTAAAAGACTCCTTCGAAGAACTAAAATTTATAAAATAATTTTCACGCAGGAGCTCTAAAATCGGAGCCTTAAATATTTTTATACATTAGGTCTTAGCACTGACTTTAATCATTTTGTGTGGAGTAAAGCACTACAATGTCGTCTAAATAGTTACATTAAATTTTTCATACCAAGTATTATAAGCAATAACCGATTTAGTAAAAAAGAATCATCAAAATCGGTTCATAATTGACGATGATGTTAGTAAGTACATACGTACAAAAAACAGACAGTCGAATTGAGTACCTCCTTTTTTAAAGTCAATTAATATAATAAGAATTCAAAACATTTTTTCGAAAATATTTTGTAGACATTAAATTATCAATGCACAGGCCACTAATTATTGATTTTTTTTTAAAGAAGAGCAATTCCAATGCGTGTGTAAGGCGTGTGTTCAACAACTTAGGTGTATAATAGGCATAATATGTATTTTCAGATTTAAAGATCAGAATATATTAATTTTTTTCATATAATATTTTGTACATAAAATAATGATTTTGAAAATGTTTACTAAACCATCTTTGTATTAAACACGTATTAAGTATGTACCTAAATCTAAATTATTTAAATAAAATCTGCTTTCGTAAATTCGGGTTGCCATCCTCAAATTATGAAAATCAGGATTTAAAGGTGTAGATACCGTAATACGTTTCGGTCAAACAGGACGTAGTATAATAGCAGGACCTAGTTAATAGTAATACGCAATGGATACTATGTCAAGGAAACAGATAATGGCCATTAAAATTTTTAGGATAGTATTTTCAATAAAATTATTATTATCAAAGCAAATTGTCACGATAACAAGTTCATTGCTGAGCCCTAAGAAATACTGATTAACATGATTCGGAGCCACTTGCTGTTATCTACTTCCTGCATATCGTCACTTTTGGGGGGCCGCCCTACACTTACTCGTAGCTTACCGGTACTCTCTTCGAGACAGCCACTCGAGACCTATTTTTTCTCATTGATTTTTAGTCCTTCGAGCTATATCGCCGGCCCATTGACCTTTCAGTTTACTGATCCGTTGGGCTACGTTGGTTTCTCCGGTTCTACTGCGGAAATCCTCATTTCGATTAAATTATTTAAGAAATTAAATGGAATGAATTATTATTAATATATAAAAAAATATGTTAATATGTTATTTATTTCTATAATATTTTTCAACGGTCCCAATTTCTCTCGAAGTTTTAAAAAACCAACTATCCACTCTCCCCGTGACACCCTAAATAGCAGGTATGTCCTGCGAAAACAAGACGGTTGGCAACTGTAACGTAAATAATTTTCGAAGTACATGGTTTTTTTTATATTGTCCAGCCTCTGAATTAACCACATCTCCTTAACTTTTAGGTTCGATTTCCGTCGGCACTATTGCAATGACCACGTGCTCAGTTTTCAAGAAAATATCACGAGGAAAAGTACATGTTTAACAAATCTATACACATAAATAATAATCAATACACATAAATAAAATTTAAGTGTCGGTTTGTAATGTCAAAATAACAGCTTTTTACTAAATGCATATGAAAGTATATACGGTACTAATAACAAAAAAAACTATTTAATTTTTTTTGTCTGTCTGTCTGTTTGTTCCGGTTAATCTCGAAAACGGCTGGACCGATTTTGACGGGACTTTCACTGGCAGATATCTAATGTTATAAGGAGTAACTTAGGCTACTTTTACTTTAGAAAAATAATTAGGGTTCCGCGCAGAAACTATATGAAAAACCCATGAAATCCAATCTTAATAAATTCCACGCGGGCAAAGTCGCAGGGGACAGCTAGTTAAGAAATATTTCGATGACACGAAGTTCGCGAACATGTATTAGGATAATGCGGCGAATTCCTTCCTGCTCCCAAAGTCCAAAACCTCTTTTACTATTGAAGGCGCTCTATACCCCGCAGTAGAAGTGGAATGTATACGCTGTTGCTTTTAGGTTTAAATAATAATAATAATATATGCAAATAAATAAAATGGAAGTGTCTGTTTGTAATGTCAAAATACCAGCTTTTTAATAAATGCATATGACAGTATGTACGGTACTTATGTTCCGGCTAATCTCCGAAACGGTTGGACCGATTTCGACGGGACTTTTACTAGCAGATAGCTGATTTTATAAGGAGTAACTTAGGCTACTTATATTTTACAAAAAGATTTAGGGTTCCGCGCAACATAATTAAAACCCTAAATTACACGCGGGCGCAGTCGCGGGGAACAGCTAGTAATTATAATAAAACAGTGTGAAAAGTGCTTGAAGTTTGGTTCCGCGATCACCAATCCCCTTGCTACGCGTAACGGTCAAGCCAAATTCTTCCTACAACGGGAGATCCCTTGTCCAGCAATAGGGTTTTAAGGGCTGATGATGAAGAAGTCGAATAATATTTAATCTTTGAAACACTAGGAAAGACTCCTTTCCTACCCAGGGTCCGTCTGAGTAGGGACCATCCTGTTATTTATCTCTGCCGCCGCGTACTGATAGCACTGCTTGCCCTGCTGTGTTTCGAATTGTAGAGGTGTAGAGAATAGATATAGAGCCGGTATAGTTTAAGGCCGTGAGTATAGTCTTAGTCCTCAGAGGTGACAACTGACAACGCAACTGTAGCCTTCTTTGTTAGAATATGTGACTGCAGGCGTCCATGGACTGTAGCATCTTACCATCAAGCGGCCTGTAAGTCGTTTGCATGAAAGACAAAGAGACCCATTTTACTGGAAAAGAGGCATTCCATCTTAGTCCTCACGGGTGGCAAAGCATCTGTATTTTGATTCGTAATCGATGAAAGATCTATGGGTCGCAGCAACCACTTACCATCTGGTGGACTGTGTGCTCGTTTGTCACCCTATCCTATAAAAAAATAAAAATAGGTAAAAAAACTTTTTAAGTTAAACGGTTTTATGTTAAACATACATTGCAATGTTTAAGATAAATGTACTAAAAACCAAAAAATAATAAAATAGATACAGTCGTGGGAATTATAAACATATGCATAGACTAGACTAAAATAAAACCGTGGGGCACGTCAATTGTCTACAAATTATCTACTTAATGTGCGATAGAAGAATCGTTTAATTCGTCGTTAAAATAGGCAGTTGGCCCGCAGACCGTGAGGAAATTACTTACTATTTTCTTGCTCATGGAAATTCCAATAGTTATACACTCCATGTAAATAAAAGAGATGTTTCAACTAGTTTATCGTTGGACATTCACACTGCTGGCTGGCGAGGAATCGTTTCACTGCTCGTAGTTTGTCTTTAATCGACAAAACATATGATAAAAGTACTACTCGCTCACCACTATGAAACCCTAAAACTCGCTTATAATCGAGCTTGCTAGCTTGTTTCCACATTCTAGCCCTACTTATCACACGTCCATCGTTGTCGGTTGAACAACTGTCTAATTATAGTGTAACATTACAAAACAAACATTTTAATCAACGATTGTTGACAATTGACGTGCCCCACGGTTTTATTTTAGTCTAGTCTATGCATATGTTTATAATTCCCACGACTGTATCTATTTTATTATTTTTTGGTTTTTAGTACATTTATCTTAAACATTGCAATGTATGTTTAACATAAAACCGTTTAACTTAAAAAGTTTTTTTACCTATTTTTATTTTCTAGTTTTTAGTTTTTATTTCGCATTCTGTTTAATTAATTTAGTGCTTCATTATTGCAAGGTTTCTTGCCCGTTAGTTTATTGCAGTCCAACTCCTCTATACGTAGTCCCTGCAAAGATCTTACTCTAGCCACGTAGGCTTGACCTTCTTCAAACAGTTTCGCACCTAAGTATACGACTGCGTGATCCACAGTGCTGCCCTGCATTTTATGTATTGTAGAAGCCCATGATAGTATTAAAGGCAACATTCTTCTTTCAGCCGTCCCGTA